AAATAATATTTAAGAGATATCCAGAACTAAATTTTACAGGACAAAATCTTTTGTAGGAGGAATAAATATTATAGTAGTAACAGTAATTTCATAAATTTAAAGAAAATTCTAAATTCAAAAAATAATAAAAATATTAAAAATCTCTAAAAATAATAAACTCTAAGAAATAATTCATTAATTAATTATTTTATCACTATTTTTTATTATAGTTCATTACTTTTTATTATTTTTTATTATTTTTTTTATTACTTTTTATTATTTTTTATTATTTTTTATCACTTTTTATTATTGATTATTATTATTTTTCATTATTTTTCATTAATTTTTATTTTTTTATTATTTATTTCATAATTTGTAATTCTTTCTTTCTTTTTATTATTTTATTATCAATTAAATAGTTATTATTATTTGAAATTATATTTTTGAAAAATGTATAAATAGAAGTGCTATCTGAGTCTTAACTTAATATATTGTAACTAAAAATGAAAATCTCTCTTAACAAAAATTTTATTCCAAATACTTTTTGTCTCTCATATTTTTTTATACACTTCAAATTTTATATATAAGTAATCTTATATCATATTATACCTAACAAATTACTAATAACTTTATATTATATTGCACTAAAAAATCATTATTATTAACTTTAAACTTTTGATTATATTAAATTAAACAAATTATTATTATTAAATTATTAAGCTTTATATCATATTATATAAAACAAATTATTGTATTGGAATTATTAAATTAGATTATAAGTATTTTACTTTTTGTTATTTGAATTTTTGATTATTAATAAATATTTCTCATTTATAAAAAGAACAAAGTGAAAAAATTTTTGTTATTGTTATTACTAATTATATTGTCTTAGCTTTGAAAAGCTTTAAGCAAGTATAAAAAATCATTCTTTTTAAATTTTCTTTATTATTCTTTTATTTTCTTTGATCTTTACTCTTTTACAACTCTTTTATATTATTATTTTCTCTCTCTTTGATCTTTACTCTTCTATAACTCTTTCATATTATTATTTTTTAAGTAAATACAATTTTTATAAAAATTAGTATAGATTTTAGATATATCTTTTTATCTTTTAATATTTTTATCAGTCTATTACTCTCTCATAATTCAAATTCAAGTTTATAAGCTAATTTAATAATTAGTGAACAAATTTGTAATAATATCTAGTTAATTCAAGAAATAATCAAAGTTCTTTAACAATATGAGATTGTAGGAACTGTATAATCTTTTGCATAATTGATAGATTAGATGATATTCTATTTTTGTTGATAACATATTCTAGAAAGAGCAATTTTTTTTGAAAAAAATTACATTTGACTTTATTAAGTTTTAGTCTAGCTTTTCTTATTCATTGGAATACTAATTATAAGTATTTCAAATATTCTTCAAAAGTTTAAAAAATAATATTAATGTTATTAATATAGATCATAGTAAATTTTCAATTATAGTCTTCAAGCATGTTATTCATAGCTCATTACAATATATAGATTTATTATATAATTCAAATAGCATAATATTAAATTCAAATAATTCTTTACAAGAGATAAAAGTAGTCTTTTAAATGCTATAAGAGTGTATTTAACTTATTAAAATTTATTTATTAGATTAGTTAATGAAAATCATTTTGCTTTTCCAAGAGTATCTATTATTTTGTCAATTTGAGATAAAGAATAAGCATTTTTCTTTGTAACTGAATTGAGTTTACAAAAGTCATTTCTTGTCATTCTTTTTTGTTATTATAATAATAGATAAAGTTCAAGAACTAGTAAAAGGTTGAGTTATTTTAGCATTAATCATTTTTGGACTTTTTTTAAGATAAATTCTTGATTTAGTATTATTACTTGATAAATTCTTTGTCTAATTGGTTATTCATTTTAATATCAATTATATATTAGACTTTGTTAATTCTTTTAAGTTTATAAAATTCAATAATAAATATATTATTAAATTCTTCCAATAGTTAATTTAATACTTGAGCTTATTCTTCAGTTAATTTTTATTATTTAATTAGTTTGTCTTTTTTTCTCTTAGTTTAAAAATATATTATTATATTTTTACTATGTGTTGTTTCAAATTTGCTAGTTTTATGACTAAATTCTCCTAGTTCTTAACAAAAATCAAAATACTTAATATTCAAAATTAATAATTTTAATAATAGCAATTTGTTTAATATAATATGATATAAAACTAATAGCAATTTGTTTATATAATTAAAAGTTCAAAGCTAATAACAATAATTTTTTTAGTATAATACAATATTAAGTTATTAATATTTTGTTTAGCACAATATAATTCAAAGCTATTTATATATAAACTTTAATAAATACAATTTAAAATAAAAAAGATAAATATTATTTGAAAGAAAATTTTGATTAAGAAAGAATTTTATTTTTAATTTGCATATATTGAGTTAAGACTCAAACAATATCTCTATTTATAAATATAATTTCAAATATAATTATTACAATAAATTATTCAAAAGTAAAATAATTGAATAGAAAAATAAAAAAGTGAAATAATAGATAAAAAGATAAAAATAAAAGATAAAATAATAATAAAAAATAAAAATAAAAAATAAAATAAGTAAAATATAAGATAAAAATAATATAAGAAAAAATAAAATAATAAAAAGATAAAATAAAGATAAAATAATAGGTAAAATAATAATATCTAATAAGCTATTTTTATTATTATTTATATTTTTAATATTTTTAGAGATTTTCTGTTTTTTTGTTATTTTTTAAAGTTATAGTTTTTCTCAAATTTATAAAATTATTGTTACTATTATAACAGCATACTCAAAATTACTTGTGAGATAGATATAATTATATAATAAAAAAATTTATATTCTAAAGTAATAGATTATTTATTAAAAGAAATATAAGCAATGAATTTGAAATGAAATATAGTGATTTAAAATAATTTTTTTATAGTTTTATAGTGTGTGAGAAAAGTAATGAGTTTTTAACATAAAAGGTTTATTGCAGATAATAAATTGCATAAAATACATAAATATATGTATTATTTAACAAAATACAAGAATAATTAGTTAATTTTGATAACAAACAAGTTCATAATGAGTTTTTAACATAGAAGATTTAATGAACTGCATGAAACATATAGAATGCATATATTATTTAACAAAACATATATTTTCATTAAGAATAAAGCCAATTTAGATAACAAACAAGTTCTATTAAGAAGTGAACTCAGTTCAGCGAACTAATTTAGTTAATTAGTTTCTAAAGACCAGATCCTTAGTGATACCAGCCACAAAAAGGACCAGTGGATCCAATTTATTCATCTCTTCTGGATGGATGATTAAAAAAGATAGTTCAAACCCGATTCAGACTCAGTTTATCTAAACGACTTAATATCCCTATTTCTAACATTTATAAAAATATAAAGATTAAGTTTTATATAATAAAATAAATAGGAGTAAGGAATATATGTAGAAATTAAAAGAAATTATGGAATTAGAGAATTAAAAGTTACTATGGTAACAGTACTTCTGTGTGTAATTGATTGCTTTGATGTATGCATTTATCATTTAATAACGATAATCTACATGATTTTACAATCTTTATCATTATACATGTACATATTATGCAAATCGATACATGTGAAGATGGAATTATAAATGATCACTTTTTTATTTTAACTTTGAAAAGAGGAGAGGAGCTTAAGAGAATCAGATACAATTACACAAAAATGGGACAAAAATTTTAGCGTTCAAATTCGAACGCTGAACAGATTAAGAGATAATAAAATTAGAATATGAATATGAATATGAATTAATACTAAATAATTAATTATAAATAATTATTGGTTATATCTAATTGTATTAGAAAATTACAATATTATTTATGAATTTGTCATTAATATTAATTGTTATTTGAATTATATAAAAGAATAATAATAAATATAATGAAAGAAATAAATGAAAATTTTATTACTGTGATTATATAAAAAATTTCTCGTACTATAATACGTAATTCAAACTTGTATAATTTTTCAAATTTTTTAGATTTAATTTGAAAAATTTTTCTGATTACAAAGTGATAAAATTTTTTTTTATAATTAAAATAGATCATTTTTGTTTTAGCTTACTAGTTAGACATGACATAAAATGATATTGATAACATGTCATATGTGATTTTGTTATTCAAAGTTAAAACAAAACATGTGATTTATTACAGGGCCAAAATTTGATTGGTTGGCATTTCAGACTAGCACACTATGATAATGCTGAATTATAATAGTACGTATGTTAAATTACCTTTATTTTGATACAAAAAATATTTATTAATAAAAATGAAAATTTCATTACATAGAGAAAATTTAATAAATTCAGGGTTGTCCGGAATACATGTACACATAACGATACACGCAATTAACTATGGGAATGTGATTCAAACATTTGAATTTCTTTCCAGATTATCCGGAACATATAAACATCGAATCTGGTCGGGCCATAATAAATTTGGTATTTTTCTATAAGTTTAATAGCAACCGGTCGATATAGCAGATATTCGATATAATAACATTAGCGGATTAAAGTTCAGTACGGATTACAATAAATCCTTTTCGATATTAAAACTCGATGACAAGATTTTTTGAAAATTTTCACTTATGGAACGGATAATTCCGTTATATCGAGTTTTACTGTGTAAAGATTTTATATGAAGCATGTTCTATATTCTTCAAGATTTAATAAGTCTAAATTTACAATTTTTTGATGTCTATGTGTAAAATTATTGAATTTAAAGTTGTGAATTTAAATTTGTGACTCAGGTGATTTTTTAGAATGTGTGCGAAAGAAAGATCAATTTGATTTATTCTTATTAATGAAACTAATACTTTCTTCCGATTAAAATGTCGTCGTAAAGATCATGAAAAGATATTCTAATAAGATATAAATTAATTAACGTTTTTCGTAATTGTTATCTAAAATCCACATTACCATCCCCAATCACTGCTAACTAAAAATGCCTCAAAATTTGATTCCTGTCAAAAATTTCTTCAATATGTTCATAATGCCTAGAATAATCAAATAAACCAGATCTCATACACCGTAAATAAGCCTTTACAGCCTCATGTTTATCAGTATTCGTACCAAACCCATGATAATGGAAAAATGCGACAGTCGTCGTACCACCTATCGATCCCATTTCCTCCAGCATCTGGAACTGATGTAGTGCGATACGTTGATCCTGCGGAACACCATCTCCATTAAAATGAATCCATCCGATAGCCGCATAAGCTTCATCAAATCCAGCCTCGGCGGACTTTTCATAAAAGTCCATTGCGCGCGATTTATCCATCTCGACACCATCTCCTCGTAAATATTTACGAGCGAGATGATACGAAGCAATCGCCATTCCGGCATCCGCAGCTTTCGAGAACCATTTGATTGCTTCTTCCAGATTCTGTTCGGTGCCAATTCCTTGTTGAAAAAAGATTCCGACTTCCTGTTGACCTAATGAGTCGCCAATTTCGGCAGCTTTTTTGTACCATTGAAATGCGTTGTCGTTATTGTATTGTGTTCCAAATCCACACACATTAAAGAATGCCAGCAATGTCCAGTATTTACTTTGATCTTGTCGCTTTTCTGCTAAGTTGAATATATTTTGGGGCGTTGTATTTTTGTCGGAAAGCCACACTTGAATTTGGAGTTCGATGAAATCGTCATATTCCCATCGATTGTTACCTTCGATGAATATTTCTCGAACTTGATCTAGTATCCGGACTTCTTCTATTTCCACATTTGACTCATCGGTCTCTAGGTATCCGAATTGTATGTCTTCTTCCATGTTATTTAATTATTTTTTTTAGTCCTGAGGTTTATTTACTTTATGTTGATTGATTTCAATATTGTTGATTATCAAATAATTTTTATATTATTTTGGTATTTCAATAATTATTAATGTTAATATTTATCGTTATATATTTTCGATATAGCTTTTCAAAATTATTAATACGTAATCATTCAGAAAGTTTTGTCGTTTGATATTAAAAAGGACAAACACTAAAAATAGAAATATGTGATACATTACACCAAAACGTACATGTACTTGTACAATTGTTGTTATCGTATTATTATACACCAAGTTATTTAATGAGCATAACGATAATTAATCAAAAAATACATGTATCGAGAAAAGCATCTTTAGCGTTATGTTTTGCCATAAGGATTAAACAATACCGTTACGTAGACTGAATTATAATTGGTTTAAATTGAAGCTATTTTAACACAGATGTTTCAATATCGCGCGCGTTAACATTCATTCTCAACGATTTATTGTGTTCTTAGATAGTGTCGGTGTAGTTGTTAGTTCAGTAATGTACAAATCATGCATTAGACAAGATATTTAAACCTTATTCTACATGTATAAAGATATTTAAACCTTATTCTACATGTATAAAGATAATTTATTTGAGAAATTTTCTTAGAAATATACAATACGATGGCAGCGTAGACATTGATTATGATAAGAATCACTAAAATACAATTATGCAATAAATAAATGTATAAAGATATCATTTACTTGATTAGAATCATTCAAGTAGGGCTATATGAATTTTCGCCTAGCTCTTGCCACCAGGGAGCAAAGGCCATCCTCTACCTTTGAACGCCTTGTAGACCTGAATGAGATTCAAAATGTTTCACAATCAACAATTAAATTCGCGTATTAAAGTATGCAAACACAAAGCTACACAAAAATAATCTCACCTCAATAAACAGCACAACATTAAATCCAGCCAGCGTGAACACAAACACCACACAAATAGCACTTAACACACCGGCAACATATTTCGAGTTCTGGAAACATCGAGTCATAGCAATTATCCCACCGCCACCACCAGCGAATAATCCGATTCCGATGAAGAAATCGAAAAAGATGAATAACGCTTGTGCTAGGAAGAACAAGCGTATTGACATTGGAGATTGCGATCTATTTATAAATAACAAATCTTATTAGAATTATTGTAATAAATACATGTATTTTGAATATTTAATATCAAGTTATTCAGTCACCTGAATCCATTATATAAATTCCAATGACGTCCTAGAAAGTCGACTACCGGCAATATCAAAAGATAAAGGACTGCAAGAAGAATCCCAATGACCATTGATCCCCATAATCCAGTCGTTGCCAAACCGATTACAGCCACAAGATTTGCAACCAGAGTGAGAGCATAAACTACAATTAATTTAAGAATTTTTTATTACATGTAATAAACGAAGAATGAATGCGATTATTAGCATAATAATTACATTTCCAAAGGTTGTAAGAACGATGCACAAGTGCTCGCTCATGTGGTCCATCGATTGCTGCATCAATGTCGTGATGGATGAGAGGTTTAAAGGATGGCCTATTAAAAGTAATTATTTTAAGTAATAAATTCACAAATGCATAAAAAATTTACCAAAGAAAAATAATTACTGACCAATTTTTCTCTGTCATTTTTATTTACTATAATCGAAATTATAATATTATTCAATTTTTTTTGTCGTCGTTATTTTTGTTTGATGTTTGTTTCGTAGCAGTAAATAAATAACAAACAATTAATATTAACGTATGTATTAGCGTTAGTGTGGGCGGGGCACAATGAATGGCTTATGTGTTTGTTGATCATATCTATAAAAATGGGGGCTTTGTACAGGACAGGTTATTTGATGCAATACGTAGTTCTTTTGATTAATTTTAATACGATAACGATAACGATAAATCAACGATAAGTTATTTAAATAACGATGATTCATATAAGAACTGCATGACATTTTTTTAAAAAATACAATTGATTAGCGTTAGCTTTAAAATGATTACGTATTAACAGATAGCGATAGCAACAGCCAAATTTTTTAGTGTAACTTGCGGCGAACCAATCAGAAGTTCGATATTATCATTCACCGTTAATTTTTTTCCGCGACGTGTATAAATAATAAAAAGCCTTTTTTATGCGTTCTGTCTCATTTTACTCTTCATCGTTTAATGGGCGTAGTACATGTATTTGTTCCACACATCGATATAAATCATCGTTTTTTAAACTTACATAAAATAAATTCAAAGATGATATCTCAAAATAAATGTTAACGATAATATAATTACTATTTTTATCACTGAATGACATATTACGCTACAATATATTAACGTTAAGAGTATTTTGTTATTTAAACACACAACAATAGAAGTTATAAGAGCCTTCTTTTTATGCGTTCTGTCGCTCATCATTTAATGATAAAGTTAACGTTAATGCATGTTGTTGGGCGTAGTATTCCTGTGTCATTTTCATGCATATAAACACAAACGGAAGTGAACGATAACTTTCACACATACATGTATAAATACGTAAACGTAAATAACGGTAAACCATCGTTTAAATAAAACACTGCCACAATCACTAGTAAGCTCAAAGATGGCATCTAAAACTTTGAATACTCATGATTGTAGTGAATTTGATTATTGTGACAAGTGTTCAGTTCACAATACTCATGATTGTAGTAAACCGATTGTCTAAAAAACGAGCGCTGTAAGGGATGTTATCTATATCACAAACGAATTTTATGTTGAATGGTCTAGTGGAAATAAAGATATCAACAGTCTAATAAAAAAATGCACAGAATTAAGTTAATCTTTCGAATGGATCCCTTTTGAAAGATTTACCAATATGTTGAATATCTTGCAGCAACCTGGTTGGACGGTCCATCGGAGATAGTATGGGATCATGAAGAGAATAGATTTCAACGATGAGGAAAACCGATGTTGTGTTGAGATCATTACACAATTCAAAGCAAATTACATCCGAGTTTACAAACGAGGTAAAATGAATACCTTTAAATGTAAGCATATTGCTTTTTTTCAATCTAGTTAACTTTCACAATTAGATTCTGACTGCTCTAAAGTGCAGTTGTGATAGAGAGATGATAATGCTGTCAATGATAAAATATTACGGAATAACTAAAAACCCAGCTACAAATGAATACTCGACAGTGATGGATTATGCAAAAGATGATGACGACGCAAATATATGAATTCCAACCACCAAAAATTAAACTACTCAATGAATATTACTCGAGGACTTTGTGCATCGTGACTTTCACCCTGGAAATATATTAATGTCGGATACTCTTTCAATGCTGATTTTGGACTTCTGATCAAAAAATTTGCTGAGTACTTCCTTACATGAGTCCAGAGGTACTAACCGGAAAACCATACACTAAAGCTGCAGATATTTATAGTTTCGGGCTGATGAAATTGCCACAGGTGAACGGAGTCATAGTAATGATCTCGTATCAGACATCTATAATGGATTACGACCTACGATACCAAATAATGTTCCTAAATTATTCAAGTTTATTATTGAAAAATGTTGGGATCCCATTCCAGAAAACAGACCAACTGCTAAGCAACTTTACGACTTTATCATCTCTATCAGAGAATATAATACAGAACCGAATACTTTGCATTTTCAGCACTACAGCTCTTTTGAATACCCTAAAACTGGAAAGCAGAATTATATGAAATTATATATTGGTTTAGACCAGAAAAGAAGAAATTATATAGAGTTAGGAAATGTCTCAAACTGGAAAGGCAGAAATGGAAAAAATTGATAAGGAGATGAAATTAAAAAAGAGCATGCCTACAAATACGAACGAAAAACAAATCCACTCAAACGCAGTTTACACCAATCGAATGATTACTTCAAAACTAATTTCAATTCCAACTGAGACAGACACTTTTATTTTGAAATATAAATCATATTAATTTTTAAATTCATATCGAATGTTTAGGGTTGACGAGTGTCAGTTTGTTCCAAACGAAGGTAAAATGATATTTAATGTTATTCTTTATTGGCTCGCTAATTCAGTATCTTTTTTCTTTGGTGGTGTTGTAAAACAGATTTCGATTTAACGTTAACATTAAATACACCACATGAAATTGAAGAGAGATCAACGAGATAGATGAAATAAGAGGTATCGAGTGTCTTACAACAAAAAACTACAAATTCATAACGAAAACCTCCAACAAAATATGGCAATATCAAAAGAAAAATATTAAAGAAAATAGCAATTACTTTATTTTAAATTAAATTATCGTTATCTTTGTAATTATTTATTTTAATCATATCGATATCAATATAAAATGATCTACTTTTTAGAGTATATACCGATACCGATACAGTATACGTAACGATAACAAAAAACGCAGTAATGTTATTTTGTTACTTTCTTGATCCTATTAATCCAACATTAGCGTCAGTATTACGTTAACGTCAATATTTCTGTTCATGAGTGTTCGTCATACGGGTACTCAAAAATCAATATTTTCTTTTATGAATGTCATTTAGTTACTCTTCAATCCCACTCTTTAAAAACGATACATCGTCTTTTAATACATAAAAAATGTGTATTGCCATGGATATTTTATTTTCTACTTGAAAGCATCAATTTTATGGTTGCAAGGGATCATGAATTAAATGTGTTGAAATCAAAACCAATTATAAACGAGGAGGTAAAATAAAGAATTTCTAAAGTGCAAGTTGCTTTTTTGTATTAATCTTTTCAAAAATAAATTCGGACTGCTCTCGAGTTCAGTGAAACGAAGGTAAAAAATTACTTGGTTTATTATTTTTTCATTAATCTCTTTAATTCCTTGGTGTTGTAAAACAGAAATCAACGAGAATAGAGATATATCGAGAAAAGCAACAATTTCATGATGAAACACTTCCAATATCATGCTTGAAACTGGTAAGCATTGCTTTATATATGCATTATCATTATAGAATCTCATTAATGATGAGAGTAATTCACCATAACATCCAAATTAATACGTAAGTCGTTCTTTTGATTTTCATCTGAAATACGTGTAAAAAGATAATCAGGCAAAAATCCGGTTTTTTTGGTCCGGAAAACCACAAATTTATTTATAAAATTTTCGGAAAAACGGGGAAAATAAAAAAATTATCCGGTAACTTTGGGACATGATATCTCACGATTCACTGATCCAATCCAAACATAAAATACACCATTCGATTTGCTATGACTAGACAAATCGAAGGTGTATTTTGCCTGGATTGAAATTGTGGATCACCCATTTTACATGTATATGCAATATATAGAAACGTGTAAATTATATTATAAATTCTAATACAATTTACACCGTTTCTATTGCACTCAGCGCGTTTTATATATACATATATGATGAAGTGCCCTAGATAATATGAACGGAACACCCAATATAATGTTCTCGATGTCTTTTTCACGATTTCGCCTTCCTTTAATAAAATCAGTTAATGCTACATATGGATCGGACCGATATGAAACGATCAAATTTTCACATGTTTGTGGGGATAGTTCTTATTTCAGGTGAAAGAATTCGGAATTTCGGCGAAGAGATCGGCTGGCCATTCTACGAAGTGGAATTCGAGACCTTAGCGCTTGATCTTTAAAGTATATAAACTACTTCGGAAAGACTAAGTAAGTAACGTTTTCGCTTATCCGTTTTGATATTTTTTATCTATCTCTTCGAAAAAAAATACTTTATCACCTAATTTGTGAACATGGATCATTCTCGTGGTCTGATCAAAACAAAGAAAAATGGCATGCAGTTTTATAAAACTTTCAATTATGTAACCTTCGCTCAACTGGTCCTTTGTTAGAGCGGACTTTACTATGTATTGTCTTGACT